AAGCTAAGAACATACCAGAGACTATTGGCAGGAAATATGGGAAAGTAGTCAAGATCTTGGACCTGAGCTCTAACGAACTGAGGTAAAACAGCTGTTTTCGATAAGTTCAATTTATCCTCCTCCTTCCCCATCTGTCACGTTTTTTCATTTACTGCTTCATATCCACAGCGCCCAAAATGCTCACTGGGCGGTGACATACGGCGGTGCCCATAATCAGAGTTCGTCAGAAGTCTTAGTCTTTCCTATAGGTCACGTTACCGAGATGTGCTGATGGAGAAGATCTGGGAGATGGTTTTACCGGGAACATCACTGAGTGCCCTGCTACACGGGATTCTTTGCCGTCCCAGGGGAGACTACGCCCTTTTCAGCGGAACAAACACATCGTGGCCAAATAAGAAAGTTTCCCAACACAAAGCTAACCTTTTGCTACCAATCAGACTCTTCTTTTGATTGCTTTTTTCATTATTTATTTATTTGCAGATCGTTGAACGGGTTGTACTGTTTCGAAAATCTGGAGGAACTCATTCTTGATAATAACCTGCTAGGAGATGATGTGGAAATTCCCATAATGGCCAATTTACACACACTGACATTAAACAAAAACAATATATCCTTTTCATTTTAACTTGCACCCTGGATAGAGCGGCCCTGTAACTTGCCACAAACATATCCTTCGGGTGCTGATAACTGGCATCCTTCCCTTTGAGGCTATTGTCAAGAGAGGCCGATGTAAAACGTTTTCATCATTTTTTTCTTTTTTTCTTTCTTTGTTTGATCCTTAATTTTTAATACATATCCAATCTAGACGGATTCTTGGACAAAGTCTCCAAGAATTTACCTTCTCTGAAATATCTCAGCTTGCTTAGTAACCAGGCCTGCCCAAACGAACTGTCATTTTCCTACAGAGACGAGGAAGATTACCAGCGATACAGGTTACTACTTCTTGTTGTTATATTTTCGTACTTTGGCATCATTTTGCATCTGAATTCAAATTATTTTCATTTTTTATTTCCTTACTCACTTTAGTTTATCTTTTTACTTATCTATTCACTATTTCAATACGGGTTACTGCTGCTTAACCCTTTAACTCCCAAAAGTGATTAACCTGTAACTTCTCCCTATAATATCCATACATTATCCAGCAAACATGTTATGAGAATACCCAAGCTTATCAGGTGGAAGTTGTTATCTTGATCTAACACCAAATTCTCATACTCAATTTAGACGAAAATGTGTAGCAGCTAGAGGGGAGAATTAACAATTAAATCTTGGGAGTTAACGGGTTAACCCTTTAACTCCCATGCGTGACCAAGAGATAATTTCTCCTCACATATTCAAGACAATATCAAGCCAAGAAGTGATGGGAATCAAGAAAATATCAATTATGGGATTATTAGTTGATCCAATACCAAATTCTCCAAACTAACATCATAAGAATTGTATGGCAGAAAGTAAGGAGAATTACTAAAGAGATCTTGGGAGTTAAAGGGTTAACTTCCACTTTTCTCAGGTTTGGTTAGCGACGAGTTGCTTGAAAATGTTTTTTTAACGTTGTTACAATGTGAACAAACTATCTAAATGGAATGTATAAGTTATTTCCAAGATGCCCGGGAGTCCGGGACCTCTCTCTTTGAGTGCAAAGCCTTTGATATTAAAATCATTTTCACTCTTAAAAATAAGAAATCCCGTGCAAAATAATTTTCAGTTTATCGAGTGAGGTTTTAAGACTTGAGCTTTTGTCAACTTGAAGGGAGTGACCTGTTATGTTTCCGTCTTATCGTCATTGTTAACGGTGATAATGATGATGCTAATCAGTTGTGATTTTAATGACGCAAATGATAACGGTAATGATGATAACAATGTTGCTCTTAATAATGATTTTTATGAAAAACGTTAATAATAATGACGATGACGTGACCACAATGCTAATGATATATGATGACGTTAGCTTGACTATATGACCTGTACAACATGAATTTTCTTTAATCTTTGATTCATTCTTCAGATATTATGTACTTCACCGACTGCCAAACTTAACATTTCTCGATTCAAGGCCTGTTAAAAAGGTAGAGAAGAGAGAGGCACAGAGGGTTGGTGCTTACATGAAGATCGTTGCTCCTTCACTAACCGACCTGGTAAGTTACAGAAAATTGTGGCATTGAAACGCGTTTTCTCCAATTAAGAAAATCTAAAACTCAAATAAAGTACGCCCTCTGTGACCGTAGTATACCAATTTCATTGCGTTATAATTTTCTTGATTGACAGAAAGCTCAAATGCAAGAAAGCGTAGAAATATCAAGATTCACTCCACTACCTAGTACCACAAAGGCTCCTGGGAAACACAAGGGGACGTTTGGACGTATTCGGTACAACTACTCTGGAAAGAATTCTGAAGGCAACAGATTTATAAAAAATGCTCAGCTTTGAAGCTGAAAACTATTTTACAAGTTTTGTTGTAATTAAGGACCTTATGCTTGGTGGGGTTAGATTCCATTCCTCTCATCACTAACTGAGTTCGAGCTTCGTACTGTAAGATACTGACCAAGATTTCCCGCTCGGATTTAAGGCCCGCGCGCTCGCGCTTCGCATGGTATTCCTGTCATAACTCTATTTCAGACTATTCTTAGCAAATCAATTTTTCCTTGAGCATAGAAAATGCGCAGGATTCGCATTGATAGTATCGTTGTGTTATAAATTATTACTGGTTTGTCCTATCTTCCCACTCAGCTTAATTGTCAAGGAGAAATTAAAAAAAAAGAGAAAATATTTTAAAACCTTTTGGATAAAATAGAATGGAAAATCTAATTAAAACAGAAAGACTACGTGAACATCAATAAACTTCGTTACTGAAAATGAAAAGGTAGCATTGATTTATCTCCCCTCCCTCCAACCTGCCTCCACCTCCCCCCAGTGTACTTTCTTCTTGAGTTGTTCTGTCACGGTAGAAGAGTAAGGTGATGTCATGCAAAAAACGTTTTTTATTTTTTTATTAATAAACTCGAACTACAATGACAGTTTAAGCTTGTCATATGCTATTTCCAGGTTTATTTTAAAAAATGTTTTTTAATGCGTGTTAAACAAAAGGCAAACTACAGCTGTATTGCTTAACCGTTGTAAACACCGCGCAACAAGATCAGTCTACAGCTGATAAAAACGTCTAAAAGGCCCTTCTCACTTCTTTTCTTACATGCATCTATTAGAGAAAAACTCAACCTATCAACAGCATTATATAGCGCATGTTGTCTAAGAGAATAAAAATTGTTAACATTATGAAACGAACTTGTTAGGAAACTGTTCACTATACAAACTATACAAAGATACAGCTAAATTATTAGTCTGAATATAATTAAGAGCAATACCAAACATTCGCGGTATCATTCATTTTAACCCTCGCTCCCAGATCCTCTCAGTAATTCTCCTTACTTTCTGCCATACGATCCTTATAATTTTAAGTAAGAGAACTTGGAATTGGATCAACTAATAATACCCAAAATTAATATTCGTCTATATTCTCATCACTTGTCTGCTTGATATTGTAATGATAATGTAAGGAGAAATTCTGTCTTGGTCAATCATGGGAGTTAAAGGGTTAAGCCTGCCAAGTAAATGTTACATGCAATGCCCAGTTCAATATTTCTAATACACTAAAACCGCAACTGCGCATGCACTCAGAAATTGACTTACAAAATTCATGCCATCAACTTTTACCTGAAATCTGTAATTGAAAAGAGGCCCCTGAAAAG